GCCCCCTCTCCCGACCTTGGTTCGCCCCAAATAGAGATATTTCTCCACATAAGGGAGAAGGGACTACTCAAAGATCCCCACCCGATGAGGAGCCCACGAGAAGTTGCAGACTAGTCAAAGTACTACCGTTTCCACCGACAGAATGGGCATGACACTGAGCAGTGTCATGAGTTGAAAAGGCAGATCGAGGATCTTATTCGTAAAGGGCACCTCGGCCAATACCTTCGGCAGGACAAAGAACTTTCACCGCGCCTGGAGGGCCCCATCGAATAGCACATCGACGTGATAGCGGGCGGGCCCGCATCTGGCGGAAACTCCATGACCGGAAGAAAGGCGTACGCCCGAGCCGCCCCGGCCAAAGCTCCCAGGCGCGGGCCTGAGCCCGTAGTCACTTTCCTGGCCAAGCCATCCGAACAACCCGAGCACGATGATGCGCTCGTAATATCGGCCAGGATCGCCAACGCGCAAGTAAGAAGAATCATGGTCGACACTGGGAGCTCGGCCGACGAGCTCTACTTCGATGCCTTCCAAAAACTCGGCTTGTCTAGAGAGAGCATGAAGCCGATGTGCTCAGCGCTCACCGGGTTCACCGGTGATTCAATCTCACCGCTGGGGGCAATCACTTTGCCCTTAACCCTTGGAGTCCCGCCGAGGTCGAAGACGGTGATGGCCACCTTCTTAGTGGTTGACCTCCCCTCTGCATACAACGCCATTCTCGGTCGTCCAACCCTCAACAAAGTCAGAGCCGTCGTCTCAACTTACTACCAAACCGTAAAGTTACCGACCCACGCTGGGGTCGGGGAAGTCACGGGAAGCCCTCGAGAATCCAGGCGCTGCTATCTGACCGCAGTTTCGTTACATAAGAAAGCAAGGGTCGAACCGCCACTGAGAGATCCTCGGGAGACGAAGAAACCAACCCCCCATCCCAAGCCGAGGGGATCCACCATCGACTTGCCGCTACTAGAGGGTCGGCCAGACCGGACGGTCAAAATCGGGTCGGAACTGCCCGAACAGGAACGAAAGCGGCTCATCGGCTTCCTACAGGAAAATACTGACGTCTTCGCCTGGTCGCCATCCGACATGACGGGCGTCGATCCGGAGGTTGCGCAACACCACCTCAACATTTCGCCCGACGCCCGCCCGGTGAAGCAAAAACCCAGACGGCAGGCCCCTGATCGGCAACTCGCCGTACGAGAAGAGGTGGAACGACTTCTGACAGCGGGCTTCATAGAAGAAGTCAGATACCCACGATAGCTATCCAATGTAGTCCTCGTAAAGAAACCCAATGGAAGTTGGAGGATGTGTGTTGATTACACTAGTCTCAACAATGCATGCCCAAAGGATTGCTACCCCCTCCCAAAGGTCAACCAACTGGTCGATACAACGACCCGACACGCCCACCTCTTATTTATGGACGCCTTCTCGGGATACAACCAGATCAGGATGGCGCCCGAAGACCAAGAACATATGGCCTTTCTCACCGATCAAGGGGTTTACTTTTATAAGGTCATGTCATTCAGACTAAAGAACGCTGGAGCTACATACCAGAGAACAGTGAACAAGATGTTCGCCCACCAAATCGGACGGAACATGGAAGTTTACGTCGACGACATGATTGTAAAAAGCCAAGCGGCAGAAACTCACCTTGCCGATCTAGCCGAGACATTCGCCACACTGCGCAAGTTCGGCATGAGACTTAACCCCGCAAAGTGTGCTTTCGGCGTCACCCCAGGAAAGTTCCTCGGGTTTGTCATACACGAAAGAGGAATTGACGCCAACCCGGAGAAGGTCCAGGCAATCATCAATATACAGTCACCTGGGACGATCAAAGACTTGCAGCGCCTTAACGGGAGGCTCGTCGCCTTGTCTCGGTTTCTTGCCCGATCGGGTAATCGCTGCCTCCCCTTCTTCCGGGCGCTGAAGAACCCGAAGAATTTCTAATGGACGGCAGAGTGCGAAGAAGCCTTCGGACAAGTAAAACAACGCTTGGCCAGCCTACCCTGACTCGCCTCAGTGTCTTCCGGGGAGAAGCTCGGCCTTTACCTGGTTGCCTCCCGGCACACAGTCAGTTCCGTCCTGGTTAAAGAAACCTCCGGCGAACAACTACCGGTCTACTACATCAGCCACATCCTGAACGGGCCCGATGATCGATACCCACCGATTGAGAAACTGGCACTGGCGCTTGTGCTGTCAGCCCGGAAGCTGCGCCCCTACTTCCAGGCTCACATAGTGGAGGTCATCACCGACCAACCACTCCGGCAGATTCTGTCTAAGTTTAATGTTGCCGGGCGACTTCTCAAATGGGCGGTAGAGCTCGACGAGTATGACGTGCGATACGCGCCAAGAACCGCTATCAAAGCCCAGTCCGTGGCCGACTTCATCGCGGAATTAACTCGGATCGAGGACGTGGATCTCGAGCAACCTTCTGAAGGATGGGTCCTACACGTGGACGGATCGACCAACTCGAAGGGCGTTGGCGCGGGGCTGGTGCTACTAGCTCCCGACGGACGATCATTCGAGCGCTCCCTCCGCTTCGGGTTCCAAGCCACCAACAACGAGGCGGAATACGAGGCGCTCCTAGCAGGACTCAGGTTGGCCCTCGAGATGCAAGTGGTTGCCATACACGTCCTCACCGACTCGCAGTTGGTAGCCGAGCAACTCAGCGGCGGATACGAGGCTCGGAACCCAATCATGACGAAGTACCTGGCGCAGGTAAAGAACCTAACCGCCAAGTTCTCTCGTTTTACATTATCTAATGTCCCCAGGGGCGAGAACGAGCGAGTCGACGCACTAGCTAAGCTGGCATCGAAGTCAGCCCCTGAAGCCCGACCCGAGGTCGAGGAGCTCCCTTTCCGTGCAATCGAAATTGCTGCTGTGGCCTCGAACAACGCGCAGACCACATGGGTACAAGAAATGCTACGCTTTAAGCGAGATGGGACCCTTCCCCCTGACGAGGTTACGGCTCGGCGCATGCGCCGTACACAGGCGTGGTACTCGGAGATGGGCGGACAACTCTATAAGCGGTCCTTCTCATGCCCTCTTCTACGGTGCTTGGATCCCGGTGAAGTTCGGTCGGTTCTAGCCGAGGTCCACGAAGGGGTCTGCAGGGAGCACATCGGCGGACGAACCCTAGCGCACAAAATACTTCGCCAAGGGTACTACTGGCCGATTATGTGCCGAGACGCGAAGATTTACGTACAACGGTGCAGCTCATGCCAGGAGCACGCCCGCGCGCCCCGGCGGCCCGCGGTCCCGTTCACCCCCGTCGACTGCGCATGGCCGTTCACACAGTGGGGGTTAGACCTGCTCGGACCTTTCCCACTAGCCCCGGGACAGCAGAAATACATCGTC